TACGCGTTGATCGTAGCTGTTGGTACGTCAAACCTTCAACGTTATGACGTTTAGGCTTTCTTGCACTCACAAGCGAAAACGAAAAAGAAAAGATTGATTGATTGATATGTGGGGTTTAATGTCCCAAAACCACCATATGATTAAGAGAGATGCCGCAGTAGAGGGCTCGAGAAATTTCGACCACCTGGGGTTTCTTAACGTGCACCCAAATCTGAGCACATGGGCCTACATGCAGCATTTTCTCCTCCATCGAAAATGCAGCCGCCGCAGCCGGGATTCGATCCCGACACCTGCGGGTCAACAGCCAAGTACCTTAGCCACAAGCCCACGGCGGCGGGGTGGAAATGGGAAGAAAAAGTTGTCAACAACATAGGTTGCATCCAGCTCAATGCAAAATAACCACCGATCACAGCAAAACAAACTATCCTAGTCTTATAAGGCAAATTATCAAGTAGCACAAATGTAATGACACTCTAGATATATACATGTCGAGTAGAATAATACACATTTAGGTAGCACCACATTACAAAATAAAAACACATGAAGAAAGAAAGAACGAAAGAAAGAAAGAAAAGAAAGGAGGGAGCAATTAGTACGTTGGGCACGTGCCTTGCAAATGTTGCGTCCAAGGCTGCAGTGCTGAAATCTAGGCCATTCCAATCACAGACTGCCTGTGGAAAGAAAGAATACGGGAAAAGCTCCCTCTTGATTCGATAAGTGATTACTGTAGGCTAGTATTGACGAGATCTAACAAAAAATAAAGCCAAGGAAAGTATAGTAGATGTTATTAGAAGTACTGTAAGTGTTAAGAAAAAAAAAGTGGTTAAAAATGTACATTGCCTGGGCAGGGACCGAAGCTGCGACTTTTGAATAACGTGTCCAATGCTCTACCAACTGAGCTACCACGGCAGCTATCACCCCCGTCACTTTATGAGGTATATATGTGCATTAACTCGGGAGGTTTAGTCAGCGCTGCCAGTAGCCAACACTTTTTTTTTGCCTGTTTGGCGTCACGTAGCACGGGATGTTATTACGAGGTGGCAGCTGACCAACTATCCCTCGTATACTACCTGAAGGCACTAAGTCGGCCAAAGCGAGGACTCTCGCTTAGCAGACTGGAAATGGGTTTACATGTGAAGCCTCGTTTTGCTTGTCGGTCACTATATCAGTGAGATCTAACAGACAATCAAGCCAAGTAAGAATAGGGATGTAATTAGAAGTAATGTAAATGTGAAGAAAGAAAAGGGGACGAGAACGATAATTTGCCGTGGGCAGGGAGCAAAGCTGCTGCTACGTTCGTCCTTGGCGCTGTGTCGTATCCACAATTCTCAGTCAAACAGCACGCTGCTCGGATCTCCGTACTCCTTCGCGTCCATAAACATTGACAGATAGCTGTTCCACGAATCGGAGCTTCATTGAAATTACGCACAAAAGGTTGATTTATTGATTGATTCGTGAAGTTTAACGTCCCAAAACCACCCTATGATTATGAGAGACGCCGTAGTGCAGGGGTTCCGGAAAATTTTATCACCAGGTGTTATTTAACGTGCACCCAAATCTGAACACACGGCCTAAATAGTTTCAGCCTCCATCGGAAATGCAGCCGCTGCAACCGGGATTCGATTCCGCGACCTGCGGGTCAGCAGCCCAGTACCTTAGCCACTAGACCACCGTCGCGGTGCAGAAGTTATTTCTAGCGACATCAGCATAGGAGGGGGGGGGGGGGGGGGGCTATGGGAGCTGTGATTGAAGCGCTACTATGCGTGTAGGGCAGAAACACTATTTTTGAAAAACCAAATTTGATTCAATGTGTAAGCAAACGCTATGTTTGTGTTTTTACAAATGACACTTCTTTCCTCCAACAATATTATGTAGCAGTAATAGCAAAGAATATATGACATTTTTTTATTATTACAAAAATTGTTTCTTTTTTTTCTAGCACCCTCTGCCAACGCTGTTATTACTCAGTGCTACCCTTGCACTCTATGGAAAGGCACGCTCCTAAAATAGTTCTGCGATCCGCCATTTTATGAACTTGTATGGGCTTCTATGGAGCCTTCGCTACCAGTTCTATCTATAGACGCCGTAGTGGAGGGCTCCGGAAATTTCGACCAACTGGGGTTCTTTAACGCGCACCCAAATCTGAGCACACGGGCCTACACCATTTCCGCCTCCATGGGAAATGCAGCCGCCACAGCCGGGATTTGATCCCGCGACCTGCGGGTCAGCATCCGAGTACCTTAGCCACTGGACCACCATGGCGGGGCAAGCCCGTGGGCATACTTATCCACAAATGGCCGTCAACCGCTATCATCTCTACCCAAGCACTATCTATAGAGCCGCGAGCACCTCTGTCGAAATACGCCCGCCACTGCCGGGATTCGGTCCCCACGACCTTCGCGTCAGCAGTCGAACATTATATATACATAAGCATTACACCGCTATGACCAGTCAGAGACGTAATGAAATGTGATTCTACCGTCTTTCCTTCGCCGTACCACATGTAATCACGTTGGTTCAGCACACGAAGAAAGCGCGAAAATTACTAAACGCTGAACATAACGTATTTCTGCGCATTTTAGGCGTTCTGAAAGGAATTTACCAAGTGAAATGCCGCGCCCTTATTTGAATCTTGAAAAAGAGGACGACAATACGAAGGGACATTGACATAATTTTACAACGTTGGGCTTGACACGGCAAAAGCACAAACTATTTTTTGATACTCTACAGTGAAAACTGAGTTAGGTGAGCGTCAACTTCAGGCAAATGGTGTACGCTGAGCCCGGTTTTATTTTCACGGGTAAGCGACAGCTTTCAATGAGAAATAGCGTAATTCACAGGATCTTCAAATAATGTGGCGCACAAGCCGCAAACAGCGCGTTTAATGTGCACTAAATGGTAGAATAAGCAGCGTGTTTTTTTTTTTTTGTATGTACGACAACGGGGTGTTGTGTTAAACATCAGCGCTTCACGGAAACCGCATGTTGCAAGTTTTTTGCCGGTTTCACTGCAACAAGGCCGCAGGTGTTCTGTGCACCGTATCGTGTATTTAGAATAGCATTAAATGGTTTTGAATACTTCGTACTCACTATGGGAGAGCAGTTAGATGTCTCTTATGAGCCTTCCCTTAAGCCTGCGCAAGGAAGGGTGTGTTTTGACAAAGAGGCTAACGATTTCGAGTACTTGGTACTCTTCAATGGGAGAGCTTGAAGCCGTCCCGTGCCAACTGACAAAATCCAATGGTTTCTACTTCGCTGAGCATAGAGTGTTCGTTTGTTCATCCCATGATGCAGATCCACAATTCTGTCGCTGGTTCGATTTGAGATAACTTGAACATCCTGGAAACTTAATGTGGTATTGTGACTATTCTGCTTATACCCAAACGAAACATTATGAAATGCAACGACTAACCTTTAATTAGTATTATGTGTGGTGTTAATATTTTCCGTCAACCAATATTTGCGGATAAGCGGAAACCAACTACCGCTGCTGTCACAGGGGAAGTGCATGCAGGCGCGCCGACAAGTGATGCCACAGCAAGCGGTTTAGAGAAGCGCCCTCCAGGAATGTAGATTCTCCCAATAACAAAGGCTATGAAGGCGTTATCGAATTATTCGTGTGGAAAAAATAAAAATAGAAAACAAACAAACATGCCATATTAATTCGAATGATCACAGGCTTTCGCCGGGCCCGCATTGGAATTTAAAAGGTGTGCAATGTTTTTTGCTGTGTGAAGCATTTCTTTTCCAACTACGAAGACCTTGATCATATCTATCTATCTATCTATCTATCTATCTATCTATCTATCTATCTATCTATCTATCTATCTATCTATCTATCTATCTATCTATCTATCTATCTATCTATCTATCTATCTATTTATCTATCTATCTATCTATCTATCTATCTACTATCTATCTGACTTTTAGCTCTCCTGGCAGTTTCGATAATGGGATTTATACCAAATTGGTATGGCTTAACATGACTTCATCAACGAGCATAAGTGACAAATCATTAGATAAACATTATGAGATGTATGTCATGCATGTCCTGATTTACATGTCATGGTCTCGCTGTTCTTGTGGTAGTTTCTTTTATATGACATATTGCAAAACTGGTATAGTATGGCATGACTGCATGGCAAACATAAGTGACAGGCCCTAAGATGGAAATCATGACATGCGTGTCATGTAAATCATGATTGCACTCCAGACTACGCTCAACGTTCATGGGGCACTCAAGGTCGTTTGGCTAGCTTCACATATACCAAATCTGGTATTACGTGACGTGAATGGATGACGAAGGTATATGACTAGTGGAAACACGATAATCATGACATGCGTCATGTAAGAACATGATTACGTACCACGCGCATAATGCGTCCGCGGCTGTTTCGCTACCTTAAATTATACCAAGTTTGGTATTACGTGACGCGAATGGACGAAGAATGTAAATGACACGTCCGAACATAATAATCATGAGATGTGTGTTATGTAAAACATGACTACATGCTATGCTCATAGTGCGCTCCCGGCCGTTTCTCCAGCTTCATGTATACCAATTTTGGTGCTACGTGACGTCAATGGATGAGTAATGTATGAATGCTTGAAACATGATTATTATGACATGCATGCCGTGTTGAATGGGACTACATACCACGCTCATGATGCACTTGTAGCCATTTCGCTAGCTTCACAAGTACGAAGTTTGGTATTACGGGACGTGAATCAATGACGAAGGTAAAGGACACGTCCAAACATGATGATTAAGATATGATTGTCATGTAAAACAAGACTACATTTTTTAACGTTGTTGTAACAAGACTACTACAAAATTTGTAACGTTTTCATTTTATAACTTCCTTACTCGAAAATTGAATAAGATAAGACCACTCAATATTGGCCAATCACCACAGTATAGCCACAATAGTAGGTCAACGAGAACAAGGACGACCAATGCCCGGGTCAAAGCAGCTCCGCTGTTCTAACTCTTTTTCACAGGCTCGACCAAGCGTAATCGTGGCCCACACCGTAGGCGGCCAGTGCCTCCTGGTACGGAGGGACGCGTGCCAGGTAAAGATGAATGGCTCCTCTGCGGTCCATTCTCAGCCCAGTCCACTGGCAACCATGCTGGGTAAGTCGGGAAGAAACTGTTGTCATTGCAATTTTACATGGCGTAGAGTTTGCTACAACTATAGCTACTCTGGCGCTGCGATCGTTCAGCGACCATGGTAGTTATGGGTAGTACGTGGATTTGCTATAGTCTTCGCGCTTGTGGGCGGCGAACACACTTGTAGCTTCGTTTATTGCTGTGTTTTGGTTTTCTTTCGAAGGAAAGAACAAACCATTTTGAACTTCGTGACCCGCTTTGAAAAGGTGATCCTAAAAGGTGAAGGTGGTGAAGCGTAACTGATAAGCTATTGCTGATTGTTGTTTCTTGACAAAACAGCTTCAAGCCACGCGAAGACAGAACGAACGTAAAGTACGGAGACTTGGCAAAAAATTATGTCATGTCCATTATTTCCATGCTCGCTGAAGTGCCATGAGTTGCATCTCCCGCAGATAGCGCCAGAGTTCTCTCTGTGGTGCAGAAAAATCGATGGAACAACCAGCGCACTCAACGTACAGGCTTTTCCCATAGTGTTTCGCGCACCCACGTGGGGTTCTAGGATTGCTTGAACATGACCTGCTGCGGCAATAAGACCGTAAGATCGCCTGCCTACAGCTCTACAAAACCTAATTTGCATATGCGTAGTTATATCCAGGCTGATTTAAAGCGGGCTTGAATACCATTGGTGCATGTGCACCTGTTAGCTGATAGCGGGGTTAGCAGGTATAAAATCAGAGCCTGCCTGAAATGACGGGCTCCAATGTATGTCACTTTAGTTTATTACCACTCCATATCTACTGTATATAAGCGTCGAATGTGCGGGTGCTGTCTTCACATTTTAGGGGTGAAGATATATGGTGTGCACGTGCTATGCTTTGCGTACCTTCAATGTACTCAATGTCGTAGATTGAAGGTATACATGGTGGGCACAGGTTTAGCGGCTGTGTCGTGACTCTGATAAACACGATATTTTGTCGCTGTGGAAGTATACCCTTGAATGGGAAATCGACAAAAGCTACTCATTATTTCTTAAATTACTAACTTTTTGACAGTTGTTTATATAGAAAAGTACCAGGACGCCACAGCATATCGATTTTCTTTGAAAAACCAAAATCGGGCGAGATTCGGAATATTCATCGTCGTCTTTTCGAGGCCCCTTATCAGGTCATATCGATATCTTGTGCGCCGTACGCACAGAAAAGGCGGCCGCTAAGTCGTGCCGGAATTGCCCGTGATGAAGAAGGAAAAAAATTTTGTTATGAAGGCGCATAGCGGTTAGTATTTGGCCGGGGAAAGCGGCAAATCTTTTAACTTGTGCTAGAGGATCGTCTCATTCGCCGATTCCGTTTGGTGCTTCTCTCTTTTTTTTTTCATTTTCGGCTCTGCGTCAGAAAACAGCAATTAGTACATTTTCGTCCGGTATAGCACATGTATAGTGTAAAACTTGGGGGCACCCACTGCGGCTCTTGCTCTTGCAAACTGTGCGACAGGCGAAAGAGTGCTTTGTGGCTATTTATAGTTTAAAAAAAATAGATAAACATCATTCATCGCACGTGACACTGCACGCGAAGAAGAGGGGGGGGGGGGGATTCTCATGTATATTTCAGGTGACTTGCCGTTTTTCCGGTCACTTCATCGTCACTGGCGGTTCCTGTGTGACGCAACAATGCAGCAGGGTTTAATTGCGATATCACATATCGCCGCCGAAATTCGATTACAAATATATCAAATCAAGTCCGATTTGTATTTCTGAAAAAATAAGTACATCATAAATGGTGACGCTTGATAGCTTTACATATCCTGCCCTGAATTTGTTTTAAAAAGTTACAAATTTTTTACTGGTCTTTTCAGAATAACCCTAGCGAATTATGTCTGTCTCGGCGTACAGTTCGCATGAAAAGACGAGAGGTGCCTTACACTCGGAGCATTTTCACTTTTAAAAAAGTCACAGCTTTGCCGCAAAGGAGAAGCAATGAACATGACAGCAACAAATTGGAAGGTCGCGTGAAAAATGGCAAGTAGATCGAAACTTGCCCTGCCTTTCTCACGCATAAATGATGCATGAAATGTACTCATAAGTACAAATGAATGCGAATATTGCGCGTCTTACTTGTTACTTGGCTGTGTCTGAAAAGGAAGGAAGGAAGGAAAATAGGGGGAAAAGAACGGCAGGGAGGTTAACCAGCCTATAGGCAGCCGGTTTGCTACTCTGCGCATGGGAGAGGGATGGGGGAGATGAAAGATAGTGAGCAGAGAGGGAAGAGAGAAACACAGCACATTCGGCAGCACACGCGCGCACACTCAGTCATAGTCCAGTCTTGTCTTTCGCAGTGTGTGACATTGCTATTACAGTCGCTTGTTCAAGTCCGTGTCGCGTAGGAATTTCAACAGAGCTTTCGTCGCCTTCTGTTGCATTGTCTTTTCTCGGGCACTTGACAGAATAGTGTCCACAGACATTTGGCTGTTGTCGATGTGCGCAAAAGCGGACGCCAGTGACTGTCTGTGGATTTCATACAACGGACAGTCACACAGGATGTGGTGTAGCGTCTCTTCGCAATGACAGGCATCGCAGAGAACGTTGTCGGCCATTCCTATGACAGAGGAATAAGATTTTGTAAATGCCACTCCTAGCCATAAGCGATGAAGAAGGGTGGCTTCTCTTCGGTCGAGCCCAGTGGGCATGCGGAGAGCCATCAAAGAGGACAGGTGGTGTTGACGATTCGTATCGATGCTTGGTGGGCACCATAGTGAAAACGTGATTTCACGCGCAAGTCGTCGAAAATTACTGGCAGCATCGGTCCGCGAAAGTGGTATGGCTTCTTCTCGTGTTCCTTCAAGGGCTGCCCGCGCGGCAGTATCGGCATGTTCGTTCCCTATATGATGCCGCGGTGACTTGGCAGACATTGAAGCGTCGCATGATGCCCTTTCTCGTGTGAAGTGTGAAGAAGGCATCGAATTTCGAAAACAAGCTGTTCGTATGGCCCGCGACGCAGTGCTGAGAGCACAGATTGTAGGGCAGCCCTTGAGTCGCTGAAAATCGACCATTGTTGCGGTGGTTCCCGATTGACCACACAGAGTGCAGCGCGCAAAGCAGCTAGTTCCGCTGCTGTAGATGCCGTGGAGTGGTCAGTCTTAAAGCTAATGGTAACACCTCTTGCTGGGACAACTACTGCCCCTGACGAACACTGGCGGTTCGTGGAACCATCGGTGTGTACATGTATGCTGTCTGAATATTTCTCGTGTAAAAGAAGAAGAGACAGTTGTTTCAGCACGGGCGACCAAAGCTCAGATTTCCTCCGGATCCCTGGTACACTAAGATGCACTGTGGGTCGAATAAGACACCAAAGTGGTATGGATGGCTTAGATGCAGGAGTGAAGCCCGAGGGAAGTTTATCGTTGTATTTCACAATCATTTTGACGAACGATGCTTGGCGCCTCTCTGAAGGCAACAGTGCAAGGTGATGACAGGGAGCACGTGCGAAGTGTCTGATGTGTGTTCTCAAAACTTCTAAAACAATGTGAGTTTGTATCGGATAGTCACCAGCAATTGCAATTGTGACTTCCGTTGACGTACATCTGGGCAGACCGAGACACACTCTCAGCGCTTGGGCTTGTACTGCCTGTAGAACATGAACATTGGTCTTGCAGGTATTGCTAAGCACGGGCAAGCTATATCTGAGGAAACCGAAAAACAGGGCTCTGTAGAGCTCCATCATTGCGTCTACTGACATTCCCCACGTCCTTCCTGCCAGGAACTTCAACAGTTGGGAAATAGCGGTCAGGTGCTTCTTCATATAGGTCACATGCGGACTCCAACAGAGGTCCCTATCAATAATGATGCCGAGAAACCGGTGGGTTTTGGCGTAAGAAATCAGTCGCCCGCAGATTGAGATGACATAAGGGGTCATTGCGAGTGAAAGCCACCAGCGCGCATTTTTCTGGTGATATGCTGAGACCTTGGTTTAACAAGTAGTTGGCAATTATAGTTGCTGCTTTTTGAAGCCGGGAACGTATCTGAGGACGTGTTACTGCCGAAGTCAGGACACAGATGTCGTCTGCGTATATTGAGATTTTATTGGTGCTTGGCAAGTATTCAGCAAGGCCAATTAGTGCAAGATTGAATAGCGTCGGGCTAAGAACTCTACCTTGAGGAACACCCTTTGAAGTATAGCGTCTCGTAGTTGGGCCATCTTCTGTTAACACGAAGCATGATCTTGCAGCCAGGTAACCCGAAATCCACCGAAAGGCTCGACCACCAAGGCCAACCACCGCAAGAGCACCCAAAATGGCTTCATGTAGTACATTATCATAAGCGCCTTTCACGTCTAGAAACAAAGCTGCAGATAGTCGCTTACGGGATATTTCGTGCTGAACGTACGAAACTAGATCAACGACATTGTCAATAGAAGAGTGGTCGCGTCGGAAACCAGCCATTGAATTCGGATAAATCTTGTAGTATTCAAGATACCACTCCAGGCGGCTGAAAAGCGTGCCGTTTTCGCAACGGGGACTGTGCAACGAGTGCAGTGAACTTTGTGCGCCCGGTAACTACAACAGGATCGTTCCGGTGAGAGTCCAAGGCGTGCGATCACGGAGGAAGGAAAGGTAGGAGAGGGCATTCCCAGGTGGCGCGCGGCGTGAAAAGTATGGAGGAAATGACATCATGGTGGTCATATTCACTGGGCACAATGGAGGCGTTGCTATGGTTACGTGTTGCGCATTGGAGCTGGTCTAGCAGTGAGCGGCTGCGGCTGGCGGTGGCATGTGTGCCTCCCCAGGTCTCGTGCTGAGCCGTGGCGGACAATATCCGTGCTCTGCGCCACGTTATTGTTTACGCAGTGTTCTCCTGGGAGTTACTGTACTCTTAGCAACGTTTGCAAATCCTTTTGTCCATCACGGGGTTTCAACAGTGCGTAGAACGAGTGCATATTCATATGTCGTGCGACGGATGACGCGGATAAAGCAATTAGTGTTCAGTGAAATTGCGTTGGGCACCATGACGAAGCGGAACGACGACGAACGCC